TTAGCCGTGTCATTATAACCGCCGCGGTACAGCCCGTGCCGCTTTTCTGGCGTGTTCCGACGGCGCTGGCCTGACTCGCGGCCGCGCCAGTCGTGCGGGTCCCCTTTCTTCCCCTCTTTCCCAGCCGCTTGGGGAAGTTTTCAGTTTTGTCTGAAAGATCGTAGTATCCGCAGCCAGATGCCGCGAGCTGTTTTTTTCCGGAGGCAGCTGCATCTGCACCGTTTACCTGAACTCAAACGGAAGAAGTTTTCTTGCTGTTTGGTTCTTAACCTGGCAGACCAAAGACTTGAGTAGAAATAAGTTCTTGCGAATACTGGATTGCTCTGTCTCCTGTAGTGCCGTACCGCCTTGCTTCGACCGCAGATCAGACGTTTGCTACCAAAACTGTTGAGGGAAGAGAAACGCGGTAGTATTGGTGAGAGTGAAAAAGGACTGTCGTACAGAGGTTTGACTTCAGATGGGAGTTAGAAGCTAAGTCGAGTGGAGCTGCTGTTCAAGATAATAAAACGTGAAAGATAAGGACCAAAATAAAAGCATAAACGCGCTGGGAATGTTTTTTGCGTAACCCTTGGTCGTAGCTGCTGTCCACCAACTCGAACTGTTTGCTTATCTGACTCAATGTGGCAGTAATGAGATGAAAGACCCGCGCTGTCTGTTTGCTGCAGATATTGCATTGCTCTTAACTTTGCAAGTCATCGCCGCCGAGCAAACGCCTCGTCCTGTTACTAGAGCAAACAAAGATTTAACGCCTTGCGTTTAATGAGTTTGTATCCACGTTTGCCGTGAAACGCCGTGAGAAATTGCATTTAGGGGGCAGGGGGTGAATGGCGTTACCCCGTTCCCCGCGCGCTTGGGAGCTGCGGCGCACAGGCAGGTCACCTTCCTCCTGGGGGTGGGTGCGAGAGATTTTTGGGGGATGCTGTGAAAACTTTGGGCCTCTGTTTGAATGCAGACGGATTCGCTGTTTGGACAGCGTTTAAATTAAGCTGCGCCACTGGGAATATGGAGTCATATCCACGGAATTAGTGTCTACACGCAAATCAGCATGCTTTTGCGAATAGGTGTGTATATACTTTGCTTATGTTGGCAGGTAAAGTTGCCTACATCTTTCTCCTTGCCCAAAAGATTTTTGCAAGTGTCCTGAGCGGAGGAGGAAAGAGGAGTTGGTGTTGAGGCTGGCCGGCGGAGTTCCCGACTGCTCCCTTCAACCCCTTCGGCGGTTTGCTGCCCGCTCTTCTTTGGGGTTATTGCTCATCGGGACCGTTTTGGTTTGTAACGCCGTTACCCAAAGCTGTCCTAGCCCAGCTGGGGGCAAGCAGGCTGCTGCTGGTAGGTGAGAGTGAAAAGGTGGGAGAGAGAGATCCGCAGGCTGGTTTTGCACCCGGTGAAGCAGTGCGCTGGGTGGGGCTGCTTTGCAGTAGCTGTCCAGGCACACGTTCTTGGCCTGTGCTAAACGTGCAATCTCCCGCGTTGTTCACCGAGTGAGAATCTGCCTCTATTTACTGCTCGTTCGCTGCGGGGTAACAGAGCGCGTGAAGAGCAGCGCGACAGCTTGGAGAGCTGGAGCGCGGAGGTTCAGCCCGGATCGAAACTTCATTCCAAAGCAACTTTGCCAGTCTGATAAATAGATTTTTTTTTTTTTAACTCCTTTAGACTATCGGTAGGCGGACAAATCTTCTAGGCCTTGGCAAGAGCTAAGGAAGCGTGGTCTGGATGGATGCAACTCTTAAAATTTATTAAGCCTTAGATCCTGATGATCTTCCCTTCAGAAGCAGGGTTCTGCTTGCGTGGAATGACTGCGTCGGGCGCCTGAGCCCCTTGTTACTCTGGTGTTGAAAGTAAATGTTCCGTGAGTCGATGAAATCTGTGAAAACTTGGGGAAAGATTGGGTCTTCCTCTAAGTAGTTCTCTTGCTTTTTTTTTTTGTTGTTGTTAATACAGACTGCGATACAGAAACACAGTAGTTGATTATCCTCAAGCCTACTCAGGTGATCAGTAGTTGATTATTCTCAGCTGACTGTGTTTAATTCCTTTCTTTCAATTTCCCTGAATAATAGGTGGAAGAAATAAGCTGTAGGCGTTCAGGAATACGGATCTCTAAGTGCTTGCAGTAAGGAAAGGGACCTTTTATGTGTGTTTGAGGGGAAATCATCTCAGTAGAAAGCAGGAAAATAAACATAAGGGGGAGATGAAGAAGCAGAATACACTTTTTAAAATGTGTAACTTCTAATTTGGCTTCTTTTGAAGGTGAAGTCTTCAAATTTTATTTGTGATTCCTTGACGCGCTTTCTTTTTTTTTTAATAACTTTCTGGTCTTGGAAACTTCTCTCATCCCTACGGCTAACGTTAATGATTCAGCCCCCACCCCCCCTGGGGTGTAGTCACTGCAAGTCTGAAAGGCAGGATGGCTTTTAGGCGTTTATCGCGTCCTCAACATCAGCTGCTGTGACAGCTGGGTTTCTGCCCTGCCTCGTCCGTAAATCCCGCCCTGCTTTCTCAAGTGTAACGTTGCCACTTTCCGTTCAGAGACTCTCGGATTTGCTGATCGCGGAGGCCAAAAGTGTTCTGGGAAAGTACCCCAGTCTGCTCGCGCTGTTCCTGCGCTCTCACCAAAGCCTCTCCTTCGGCCTCGGGGGCAGCCTGCTGAGCTGGGTTTTCCAAAGGGCGCGCAGATAGAAATGCGTTTTCCTCGCTGCTTCAGATCGGTCAGTGCTTCTCGCGTACGAAGGTGCGGTGGCACCCAGCTGAATTGCTGGGCAGCAAGTTTACAAGGCAGATACCTCCTAATGTCGCTCGCGGATTGTGTAATCGCTCCCCACAATGATGGGGCGCAGGCCAAAACCGTAGAGGAATTTGAAAAGAGTTCAAGCAGGATGGATTGTTTTCTTATAAAGCACAACGTCTGGATATAATTTCTGCCCTCAAAAGCACCAACACAGCTGTTTGCTGGTGTAAGTTTGTTAGGGAGAGTTGGTGTTGTCTGGCTTAGACTTTTCCCCAGGCACGTGAGGTGGCATCTTGTCTCTCTGGACCTTAGTCTGACGCGGGACAGCAGGTCTCGTTAACTCTGCGGCAGATTTCTCACTTGAAACAACCAAGTTGAAGCATATTTGGGATACGAATAATATGACTGATTGAAGACTAGTTTATTTTTGACATTATTTGCTACATTTACCTCCCCCTCCAAGGCGTGCGCTCACCTCAACTAGGAGTTAGCTGCCGCCAAAGAGTGCAGACCTGCCCCGCCACCGTCTTTGCATCTCTGCTGGTGACTGTGGGGCCTCGGTGAGTTGATTCAGCTTTTTGTCCTCCACAGGTTGTGGGTTTTTTTCTGGATATTTTTCTGTTGAACTGGTGAGTTTTAGTGACTCGTCCTGCTGCCGTGTGACTGCTGGAGGTAACGGGAAGGCGTACCTGGGGATGGTAGGAAAAGGGGGACAACCTTTGCTGGTAGCAGCCGCCTGTTTAAATTGAGTTAGTTGGAGGGCGGACGGCTCGTGAACCTCTGGAGGCCGGGAGATGCTCTGAGGAAGCAGCGCTGCATTTGCTCTGCTCCTAGAGAAGCCCGTGCTTAGGCATCTTCTGTCGCCTGTAGACCTCTGGTCTGCCTTGGTGGGCAGCTCTTGGGTTAACATTGCACCTTCCCCGCCTGCTTCCCTTGTGCTAGCTTAGCACTCGTCCTGTTCTTGGTGAACTGAGCTTGTGGAAAGCTCGGAGAAGTGCCAGAGCCAGGAGGGCAGGGGAAGGAAGCTGTGCCCGCTTTGGTGGCAGTATTTTGGTGGCGGCTGCGTCTTTGGCTCATCTGTGTGACACCTCACGCTGTCTGCTGGAGGTCTGATGCTCTCCTCTTCCCTCGTGGCAGCCCCGAGTCTCATCTGGATCCAGAGGGAGCTGTACCAGGGAGCTAAACCGGCAGAAAAATGGGTTTGCTTTTACTTCCATGGACTGACACGTTGTGAGCTTGGGTGAGCATTAGGGCCAGCAAAGGTGGGTCGGGGCCGCTCCTCGGCGTCAGCAGGGTGCTAGCTTGGCGTGACTGCGTGTGAAGCTGTGGCTTAGGGTGAAGGTCTGCGAGATAGCAGGGAAGTGATGGTGCCCCTGTACTCGGCACTGGGAAGGCCGCACCTCGAACACTGTGTTCAGTTTTGGGCCCCTCACTACAAGAAGGACGTCGAGGTGCTGGAGCGTGTCCAGAGAAGGGCAACGAGGCTGGTGAGGGGTCTGGAGAACAAGTCTGATGAGGAGCGGCTGAGGGAACTGGGGTTGTTCAGCCTGGAGAAGAGGAGGCTGAGGGGAGCCCTCATCGCTCTCTACAACCACCTGAAAGGAGGTTGTAGCGAGGTGGGGGTCGGTCTCTTCTCCCAAGTAACAAGCGATAGGACGAGAGGAAACGGCCTCAGGTTGTGCCAGGGGAGGTTTAGATTGGATGTGAGGAAAAATGTCTTTACTGAAAGAGTGGTTAAACGTTGGAACAGGCTGCCCAGGGCAGTGGTGGAGTCCCCATCCCTGGAGGTATTTAAAAGACGAGTAGATGAGGCACTTAGGGACATGGTTTAGTGGGCATGGTGGTGTTGGGTTGATGGTTGGACTCGATGATCTTAGAGGTCTTTTCCAACCTCAGTGATTCTATGATTCTATGATAGCCGCGTTCATCTTGCAGTGGTTAGATACAGTGGGTCGCATTCATCTTGCAGTGGTTAGATACAGTGGGTCTGGTGGTAGTTTTGGCCCCTCCTAAGTTAAATCACCTCAGTGAAGAGGCAAATAGACGCCTGCTCAAGAGCGGGCAGGGTCGGGGCCTCCCCTTGGTGGTGGCGAGTCCATAAATCAGCACAAGCTGCAGCGTGCTGCGTCGCCCCTTGGGAGGTTTGCGGGTGCAAGAGGGTGGGGGCGAGGTGAGGAGGGGTGCGTTCTCTCCCGCTCTGCCCGGGTTGTCCTGTCCACCTTGTGATCGTTGGACCCTCCGCTGAGCCTGCTCCACCTGCTGAAGTGAAAGAGCCGAGCTGGTTCAGAGGGGTCCCGGGGGCTGCAAATAGCAAAAGGTAAATGAGGGACGGAGCGAGACCTCCCTTTTCTTGCGGCTGTTACCTGTTTTCTGGCTGGCCCTGCATCTTGTGAAGTCATGCCTTCAGAGCATCGCCGTTAGAGGGAAGTGATACAGGCTTGGGGGAAACCAGCCACTGACACTTTGCTGTTATATTACTCATCTTGAGGGGAGCGTCAGGTTCAGAGCCATCAGCTCCGTTCTCTTCGCTTGGGGAGCAGGGACAAAAGAGGTGGGGAGGGAGGGCGTGGGAGAACGTGAAGAAGCTCCTGACAGAGTTAGGAGGAAGCCGTGAAATTTGGTATCCTACCCAGACAGTCGCTCTTGTCCAAGTCTTAAGCCTGAATTTAGAATATGCTGAGCTTAGGCTT